AAAAGAGACTTTGCATCAATTACTGGTAGGAAAACGGCAGCGCCCCGCGGCAGAGCTCTGCGCTCCCGTTCCGGGTTTGGTTAACTTCCCATTGTCTGATAGGCTCCGCTATTCAGGGCCAAGGCGAGGGCTCAGTTTTTTCATCTATCGCGGCTTTTTTAAACACCTTCGAAACAAAAAACCTTCCTGCTCTTGTAGCAGAAGGTCTGGGAGTGTCTTTGAGGTGGCTGCAGAGTGAAGCCCATCAGCATCTCCCTACCCAGCACGCAAATTTCTTGCAATGAGTGCCTATGATGCATCTCCTGATGCTGAACCATCCTCATGCCAATCAACCCCAGATGTGCTCCAGCGGTGGCACCGCCAGGTCCTGCTGCAAGCCCCCTCCACCCTCCCTGGTTTCAGACCCTACATCGCTTTTCCCCTCCACCTCTGGGGACTGCTGGTCCCCTCGGCGGGGCGGGAGGACACGATTCCATCCCTACGGGGCACTGTGAGATCCCACGGGGCCGGGGGCTATACAAATGCAAAGCGTCATTATTTTCCCGGGGCTGAAGCAGAGGCCTGAGAAAGGTTGAGTGAGAGAGGCAGCGAGCAGGGAACAGCGGGGGATTTAGCTCCTGAAAAGGAGCCAGGGAGAAAAGCGGGCGAGCAGTTTCATTGTGCGCTGGGCAGAGGGGGTCACGAGCAAGTTAAACTGGTTAATGTATTGGAGCAGCTTCCTCCGAGCTGCTGGGAGCAAGCAAAGCCCTCAACAAAAGGCCGAGGGAGCATTCTTGTGGGGAAAGTGGGCTCTCTTTAAAAGGATTTGATTTCTTTTCTGTCAGTTGAATGGAATTTGGTGGTGACTCCTCCAGGTCTAAGAATCTAAGGCTTTGGCGGTGGTGGTAGAGTGAAGGGACAGTCCCTGTCTCCCCCCCTTGCATTTTTCTCCATCTCCAGGCCCGCTGCCTCCAGCTTACAGCTCCTGGTGTTGCGGGGGGAGAGGAGCTGGGGGAACACAAGCGGCCCCATAGATGCTCTGATCCTGAAAGAAAGCGAGGGGCACGGGGCCGTCCCTGCCCAGCCTGGTTTCTCATGCTCCCTATTCAGCCCAGGAGAGGGGAGGTAGGTGTGGGGAGAGGGGAGGCTGGTGGAGCATCCACTGCTGATTTAGTGCCTCTCTCAGTGCTTCACGGCCGGGGTTGATCTCAGAGGAGTTTTGGCAGTGTAAGGTGTGCAAGGGGAGCTTTCCACTCCTTCCTTTGGGGAATGGAATTTTGATATTAAAACCATGTAATGAAGGTAAAAACATGAGGGAAAGGGGATTTGAACTATCAAAATCAGCTGGATGTAACCCCTCTTTCTCACAGCCTGTGCATCTCTCTCCTCCCAACAGCAACTCCTGGGGCAGCTGAGGATTATATTCACAGTCCTGGCTTTGTCACCCCAGAATGCCTGGGCTGGTGGGCAGGAGCACTTCCTCTTGATGGGTACAGCTGCTGGGGCATGGGGGGGTCACACTGCTGCCAGCCAGGGTGCTGGGCTGGATGCAGCAATCTCTGGCTGCAGGTGCCTCATTTGGTGCTGACCCCAAGAACAAACCAGGGAGATTTAGAGCTGCCCTGGGTTGGAGATTTGCTGTTGCACACTTCCTAGAGTAACTGGCAGCATGAATTTGAGGTGGAAAAAGATAATAACTAAATAAGCAGTGGCTGTGACTGGTAGCCCTACACTGCATGAGATTATCATAGAGCCAGAGCTTTCAGCAGGGCTCAGGTAGCTGGACAGACAGACAGCAGCTTTCCACTGACTGAGCTCAGCTCGCTGTGCCTCGGTTTCCCAAGAGGTGACATTGGCAAAGACACCATGGTTCCTGTTCCCTGGCTGGTGCCTGTTTGGGAGATTCCCTTGTGGGCTGTGCAGGGAGCCTGCACGTTGGTCTGTACGTGTCCATCTGTACAGGCAGAGCAGGAGCACAACAAGCTGAGATCACAGTCTGCTGTAGATGATGGCCAGCCTGTCCCAAGCTCCTTCCAGAGGTGTGGTCAGCAGAGCCTGCAGCTCCTGGCCTTTAATGTTTGGCCTCTAATGCTTTCTGGCCCCAGATTTTCTCATGTTCCTGTTGCAAGCTTGTCTCTCTCCGCTTTGCCTTTCTGAAAAGGAGCCAGAAGCTGATGTCAGGGGAAGTGTTTGATGATTACCCCAAGGAGGAGGCAGGAATCAAATCTCATACTGGGCTGGACTGGATGGACAAAGGCTCAGTGAACCCCATGTCCAGCCTTCAGCAACAGAACTGTCATATATAGTTTGTTTGGGGTTTTTTTTTCTATATGTATAAGGAACAGCAACCAAAGGCAGGCTGTTCCCAGTGCCCATCCCAGCCAAATCCTGCACTGTGCTCCCCTCCAGACCAGCACCTGCCTTAATAACTCCTTCAATCTCATGGTTTTGCTCATGTCTGATGCAGTGGCTGGTCCCATTCTGTGATGGGACACTGGCCACTATTTCCTGGCCACAGCTGCCTACAGCTCCAGGTCTTCCAAACCTCCTGGGGAGAAGCAGCCAGGCAAAAGGATCAGGGATGCATTTTAACTCCCTGCTCAGACCTGAGCGTCTCAGGACCTGCAGCTGGCCCTGGAGCAGTGGTAGATCTCCCATAGCCTCCTGTGCACACCCCCTGCACCCAACTCAGATCAGGTATATGTGTCACTCTTGCCTTGAAATGCTCCTGCAAAGGCTTCTTCAAAATGTTGGTTGTTCACAGGGACTTTGGCTTCTCTCTGGGCCCCCACAGCTTCTTGGCTTCTTCTTTGCCCTTGGGGTGTCCCAATTTAGTTGCTGAGGGGGTTTTCAAAGGTAGATGAGTGAGTCAATATTCACCCACCACTTCCTCCAGCTTGCCTTGGTGTTTCCAAAAGCCCACTCCTTCCAATTTCCCCACTCCACCCCTGGGAAATTTGTTTGCTCCCTTCCCATTGCCGCTGCAAAAGGGATTAAAACCAACAGTTCATTTTTCATGTGATGCAAGTTTAAATAGGAATCTCACTGCTCTGGCTTCGCCTGGTTTCCGGGAGCCAAAGCTGAGAGGGGATGGTATTAGCGCTGTGCAAGGCAGGGAGGAGGAGGAGGAGGGAGGTGGGAGCTGAAAGGGGGAGAGGAGGGGGGACGTGCGGGGGTGAAGATGGGATTAAAACATCCCATTAGAATTTCTGTTTTTGGAAAGCTCACAAAAATGTTGACATGTAGCATGACTAACATAGTGCAAATGTCAGCCCGGCTCTGCGAACGGGGGCCCTCGCTCCCCTCCCAACACGCTGGCCCCCTTTTAAGGCAAAAATATACAATGAGCCGCACAATGGCCGAATTCCAGAGAGCCGCGCTAATTGTCCCTCGCTCACGTAGGGCTAATTGCTTTGCTGAAACCATTCGTGCCTGGCCTGGATCCCACGTGTTTTTACCATTTAATTAGGACAGAAAAGCTGGGGCCAGGAAATAGGGTGAGATAAAGACTGGCAGAGATGGAGGATAGGTCGGGTGCCCTAACCTGGAGACGAGACACGCTGTGTGTGCTTGGAGAGTGGGTAGGGAACAGTCCCTGCTCCACACCAGCTTCCAGTGGGATTAGAGCTGAGCAGACACTGGGGATGGAAATGGGAGACTGTGACAGCTCTTGAGGCTGGCGAGGCCAGCTGTGAGACAGAGAAATGCTGCCAGCCACAAACGTTTGCAAGAAGCACCTTCATCCAGCTGCTCAGGACTGCTCCGAGGCTCTGGCACACAGCACAATGTGCAGCTCTTCACCTGGGGCTATGATTAGAAACTCTGTCCATTTGCAGACCACGTGCAAAGCATGAGCAGGACTCGAAGAGGGAAACAATAGATGGCCAGGAAATGCCTTTTGATGGCTGCTTATTGTCTTCCACCTTCTGGGGAACTGGAAGTTTAACTATAGTTTTCCTCTTTCAGGTATTCCTGTAAAGCCTCGTCCTCCTCCGAGGATGCTCCTGGACCACAGCATCGCCTGGCGCTGGGCTCTATTGTGCTCGGGAATTGTGCTCAGGAATGTGCATGTGTTTTTCCCCTTGAATAGCTCCTGTGAGACTGCAGCGACCCAGAAACACTGCAGGGCTCCAGCACCTCCCCTCTGGGATGAAGGGTTTGCTTCGGGGTGTCACTGTCTCCCCAAGGCACAGCACAGCAGCTCTGCTGCTGCTCAGCCCAGCACGGTGCTGCAGCTCATGGCAGTCCCCCTGCTGTAAACAGAGGTGGGTGCACAGAGCTCAGTATTAACATTCCCATCCCAACAACTTACAGAGCTCTGCTTGCTCTACAGCATCTTCTGGGGAGCCTTCATTCAGGCCATGAGGTTTTCTAGGCAGGGAAAGCCATTTAATAAATATGATCTGATTCTGAAGTACAGCAACTTCTAGGCTGGACCTTGATGGAGCTGCTCTGTAACTTCTGGAGGTGTCTCATCTTCCTGTGAGTGCAAACATCTGGGGGTTCCTCCACTGCCCATCTGCACATCTTCCTCTGGTGACAGCAACCAGCAAGAAGCCACCAGCCTCCCTTGCTCCCCAGCCTGTACCACCCCTCATCCCCTACAGGAGCTCTTGGGGTCACTGCAATGCAATTTGCACTTGGCAAGTTTAATTGCTCTGTGGCCTCCGTCACGGAACAGCTCTTGGCCTTATAAGCAGTATTATGAGCAGTACCCTGGTGGGTCTGGGCACTCAGAACAATCATTTCAGATCAGTGTTAAAAGATTGTCACAGAGTTCAAAGCACAAATCTCAAAGTGTACCTGGCTCCAGCCTCCACTGGCTGCAGGGCAGCCCCAGGAGCTCTGCTGCTGCTGGGCTGTCACTCCCATGTGGGCAGAGGAGCTGAGATATCTGTGGCTGGAATAATTTTCTCCCGGTTGCCCCAGAGGTGAGGGATGTGCTTGGACTCTGCCTCCCTCCCAACCCAAGGCTCTCGTCTTTCAGGTCTCTTGAGAATAGGAATAATTTTTGCCCAGCTGCAGATGAAGGAGGAATTAGTCACACAGAGCTCAGCCATGAGGATATAAGGTAACCACTGAAAACAGAAAACAAAAACTTCAAAAATTCTCCAGAAAAAATTGTAATTCTCTGTATAAAAAGGGTGATCTTCTCTTTGTGTTTCCATGAAAGCCTGAAGAGCACACCCATACCCTGAGGACAAGGATGTTAACAAACAATGGAATTTACAGCAGCAATTTACTCAGGAGAAAAGCTACAGGTGAAAAGGACTGATACTCCAACAAGAGAGTGGGAATTCTTCATAGATGTAAATGCAATACTTGTAAGTCAATATTTGCTCTTGCAATACTGGCACATGCAGCAATGGTTTTCCAACATGAATAGGTTTCAGCCCAGCTGCTCCAGGATCAGGCGTTTCAGAAGTACTCAGATTCAGTTCTTAAACTTCATTAAAAATGTGGTTTTTAAAAGCCTTTGGGGAGCTTAGAGTCTTTTATGACAAGTCCTTCTAGCCATTGAAATCCACCAGTACCGTGGGGTGGCCTCATAGTAGCTAATGAAGAACAGATGATCCCTTTGGGAAGAGAATATTTAAAACCCTAAAACATAGAGAAGACAGAACAAATGCATGTGGCAGCAAGAGAATTGGGAACATTTCTCCTCAGATCAGCCAGTGACAGAGAAATCTCCAGATGATAATTCAACCTGGGACTAGCCCCCACCCCACGCACGTTTCCAGCTCCATCCAGGTGCTGGAATATCACACTGAGATACCCAGTGCTGGTCACTTCTTGAAGTTTTTTGAGCAGTTCCCTGGAAGTTACTGTCACATGTGTATGAGCAGGGGGCCTGGGGAGCCCAGGTGACATTGGGACATGCTGGCCAGTACAAGTCAGTGTCCCTGCCCCAGTCCCTTGTGCCTGTCCCACACTCAGAGCCCAGTGAGGAGGTCCCTGACCAAGGGAGCTGGAAAGATGCTCACAGCACCCAAAGAGGCCAAGAGCCTTTCTTCAGAGCTGGTTTTACTTATATAAAGAAGGATAAGGAGTCATAATATGGGAAATTAATTTTCCTATCTGGAAGAGAAGATAATAACCAATTTTAGCTCTGCAGTCAGTGCTCTGGGAGCAGCTGTCTCAGTTTGTGAGATACAGCTTGTGCCACTTGCTGCCCTGCTGTAACAAGATGAGCCAAGTAGCAAGCAAGAGATCTGTAGGCTGGGAAACCAAGATGTGGAGGAGAACTGAGCAGTATTTCTTCATACCACTGGGAAAAAGCTTAGGTCAGTGATCATCATCAAAATCTGGGAGCAAATAACAAGGAAACTCCTTATTCCTGTTCCCCATGGCTCATAAAGTTTTACATCAGGAAGGGTGGAGGCAATGCATTTTGTACTCTTGGAAGGAACTACACGTCCTCGACAGACTGACTGCTCCTCTTGTTGTTGCAGAACTGCTGCTGTCCTTTGTCCCAAAGGGTCCCCTTCATGCCCCATTCCCTGACCTTGAAGGACCAGTCGAAGGAGGTGGTCAAGGGGGTTTCTTTTGGGTTTATTTCAAGTGTTGCCCAATTAGCCCACTAAATGCAATATCCATCTAGGAATAGCATCCTAGGTGTGGGTTGCCCACTCAGGTGGACAAAGGACATAATTAAACCCTTATCCTGTTTTTCACACTCAGAATGACATGGCTTTTATTCTGGAATGAGCTGGCTGTTGGCTGCTCCTCTGGAACGGGGTGCAGGGAGCGTGCCAAGCCCACGGAGGGGACACAGCCACCTGCCCCATAGGAAATGGGCCGGCAGCCAGGCGAGGTTCGTGCACACCACAGGACAGGCACCCAGCAGCAGCAGCGTCCTCCACTGCTGACCTGGGCTGGAGTCAAGCTGGCAGCTGAGAGGGAAGAGGAAACCATATTCTATCGTTATCTCTCACCTTGCTTCCCTTTCGTAACAACCCCATCCCTTTGCAAAACAGAAAAACACACCAGAGCTCTACAGGGGCTCCTGGAGGCCGAGCTCTGAGCCAGGGCTGCCCTCGGTGAGGGCTGTGCACAGACAAGCTGGCATTTCCCCAAACTGGGTCAAATGCAAAAGAGAAGGGCTCAGGGAACAGCAAGACTTTGTTTCCAGCTCGATCCCAGCCTCTGCAGGGTGGGATGATGCTGCAGAGAGGCTTTTCTCCAGGAGGCAGGACCATGCTCCTGCTGGTGCTCTGTCCCCAGCCTTGAGACCCCGCAGTGCCACCTCACTGCTTTTAGCAGGAGAATGTGTCAATGCTCAGGGATATGAATCAGAAATGTGTGGGCAAAGAAAGCTGAGCTCCTAAGATTGTTGTCAGCATCCTCTCCCTTGCACTGTGTGACCATCTCTTCTCAGTTTAAGCTCGTGATCTCCCAATCCCTGGTCTGACACAGTGCCTGTCTGTCAGCTCTGCCCACCCTGATCCCTTCATGTGGCTCCTATACCGGCTCTCGGGAGTGACAGAGGCCATCTCTCTGTTTTTCACATGAGCTGGTTTCACATTTGTTTTTCTTTCAAACATGAGGCTTTGCAAATATTAAATTATAATCCAGGAAGAGTTTGCTTTGTGAGGGAAGAGTGTGGGATCACGGAGGGGAGAGGGGTCATTGAGGGAGTGTAGGAAGGTGGGGGTGGCAAAGCAACTTTCATTTCCCCTCTGTGTCCCATTGGGATGGAAGTCTTTACTTCTCTGCAAACAATAGTGGCCAGTATGGGACAAGTTAGAGACTTTGGGAGACTCTAGTCTCCCCCAAGACAGGAATTTCTGCTTGCAGCAGCAATTTCATGCATTGCCTATGGAGAGGGGAGAAGAAAAGCCCTTGGCAGGTGGTAAAACCTGGACAAGATGTCTGGGACCATGAAGAAATGAGTAGAAAGGAGAGAAGAAATCATCCCTCCTAGTACTGAGTTGTTGTTTTGCACTTAAAAAAGGCAAACAAATCCAGTTTGTGCTATAGGTAAACAGAGGAACTGGGCAGGCAGGACAGGAAAGCAGAGCCTCGTCAGAGTCCTGCACCACGCAGGGAGATAAACAAGGATCCTAGAAACGTGAAGAGAGGCTTGAGGTGATTGCTCAACACGTGAGGAAATATGGAGGAAAAGCCAGCTATCAGGGAGAGGAAGCTGGAAAAGGGCAGGCTGATAGGAGCCATGAGGTCAGCTCAGTAAAAAAGAGTGTGGGAAGTCCACAGAGCACACATGCCCCTGCTGCTCCTCCTGCCTTAGATGCGCAGGTGGCAGGGATTACTTGCCTGATATTGGGTTAAAATTGCTCAGTGGTGGTGAGCTCAATCCATCAAAGGCTCCTTAGCTACAAATCCACCTCACAGAACCCGCAGCTGAGCTTTATTTCCAAGGGACCCCTTCCTCATTGACGCTGCTCCATTGGCAGAGCCGAGCCACCCGAGCTGATCCTGTCACCCAAAAACCACCAGGAAGGAGCGGCTGCATCCACTCAGCCTGGCCATTTTTCTTGAATGAGCACAAAGCTGGCCCTGTCTGGCTGTCAGAGCGAGCGTGAGACACGCAGGCTGCCCTGGCAGGCGGGTTGGGTCTCCAGGCTGAGCGCGGGGTGAGCTCATCCCGTCCGGAGCGCGAGGCACAGCGCTGGGAGCGCTGCCAGCTGACCCCCAGCCCTGTGAGCACTGGCAGCACGGTCTGTTTGGGTTCCTCACATGCCAGGGGTCTCGGGGCTTGTTTTGAGTTCAGCTCAGCTCGGCGGTTTTGACGGGTTCTGCTCTGGTCACAAGCACTTGGGTGTTCACAACAGTCCTGCTCTAAGACAAACAGCATCCATAAATCTCTGGTTGAAGCCAAGAAAATCCTGACTTGCATTACTCTGTGCTGTCCCTTCAGCCCTTTGAACGCCCAGTGCCCTTGCATGGAAGCCTTAATCGAAGTCCTATCCAAAGGAGCAGAATAAATCTTGTAATCTTGTGAGGTAAGGTCACACTTGCTGTGTGGCCATCTGGCAATAGATGGGGCTGCCCCTTGGGTCGTCTTCTCCTTGCAGGAAGTCTTCCATCAACTCTTGCCAAGCGTGAACCCCTGTGTCCCCCCAAAATGTGGTTTCAGCAGTTGTCCCTGCTGTGGCTTGTTCAGTGGGTCACTGCTCAAACCAGAGGACTTCTCATTGTGATCCCTCCTACCCAATCCATGCTGGATTGTTCCCAGCCTTGCTCCCAGGACCTCACAAGGGATCTCCCATTAGGACCCTACACACTACTGAGTCACTTCTCCAATTTCATTGAAATATGTCTGGTTTTTTCAGTTACCTACAGAATAAAGGATCTTGGAGCATTACAGATTTGGACAGATTTGTTTCTCTGGCTCATCTGTCTCTGTTCCTGCTGCTTTGCCTCCTCCCATGTTCCCAGTGATTTGTTAAAAGTTTGCACCAAAGCCTGATAAAAACTGCCTCTAACATCAATGAGTTTGGGTCAGAGCTTGAATTCCTAGAAAAACACCTTTTCCTGCCCCATTTCCCTGGCTGGACCTGCTGCTGGGGTCAGTGTCCCTTGGCTGCTGGGGTCAAGGACAGCCATGCTGACATAAACAGGCTTTTTTAGCTGATTTTCTCTTCCAGCCTCAGGCAGGGAAGAGAATGGGGCTGGTCTGTGGCTGCTCAAAGAGGACACACAGTGAATAGTGACTGCATCCATGACAGTGGGGTTTTTTTGCCTTTTCAGCCAGGCTTTGATAAAGCCTGGCTCCTGCCTGTGCTGTCCGAGCTCCAGGGACCATGGGAATGCTGGGATGACCACCTCCCCATCTGGGACAGGACACAGGACAGCCAGTGACCAGTCTGCTGGCCCAGCAGCACACTCAGCTGGACACACATCCCCTCCAAGGGACAAAGGGACTCGCTGAGAGAGGAAGAATCCATGTGTGGCCTACAGGAAAGAGGAGGCTGAAGAGGACTTGACTTCAGCAGCAGCAGGAAGGGAAGATAAGGATGGAAAATCAGATTGTTTCCAGCTCATGTCTGGGCAGTCCTTGGGGAAGAGGCTGTGAGATCCATGTGCAGAGTCTGGAAGCTGGGCAGACTTGGGAGATCCTGAGGGAGACCCTAGGAAGGTGGTGTCTCTTGCCATGGTGGCAGCAGCATGAGGAGGGTCTGAGTGTGGCAGAGTGAAGCCAACCCCACTGTCACTCACTGTTCTCCAATCTTTGCTGGATCTCATAGTGGCTGCCCTTCTCTGAGCCCAGGAAGGATCACACGGGAGTATCCAAGCACCTCATTCCATGTGGAGTGCTGTGCAGGGTAGCTGGAGGGACAGGCATGGATGGATCTATGTTTTCCCTTCTCCTCAGCTCCTCTCTGCTCATGAGGCCACCAGCAAGGAGCCACTGGCAGAAGCATCTGCTCATCCTCCCTGAGAACAGGGACCCCTTTCTGCCTGTCACCCTATAGCCATGACCCAGTTTCACCGAGGCACTTCTCAACCCCCGG